GCCGATTTGGCATGCTCTCAATCAACTTCTTCAGAACCTCCTTCTGTATCAGTGCCATTCCTCGAGTATCGCCTTTTGTAAGAGAGCCACTGTCTCGTACTGTTTTCCCCGAGCGTAGATTCGACGCGCGAGGATGCCCCACAGATTTTCCATCGGATTCAGATCGGGGGAACATGCAGGCCAATCCAGTAAATCGATGTGATGAGCCTCGAACCAATCCAGAGTTGATCTGCTAACGTGTATGGCAGCGTTGTCTTGCTGAAAAATGAGACGATGGCGCAATTTCTGGCTCCATGAAATGGTTAAAAGGCGGGTTTTCGAACACGTTCCTGGTGTTCACTGCAGAATCATTCGGAAAGTGTTGAAGGACCTTATCAGCTTGCCCACACCAGGGTAAAAAAGCCTCGTCGCAGCACATCACGCTCCCACCGCCAAAGTTCCGCTTAGAGAAGGTGATTGGATTTTCGCGTAGATCTCTCCAATACGAACGCCATCCGTCCAACCCATCCGAATTGAACTTTTTTTCGTCGGGATCTGCAACAGCAATGATCTGCAACAGCAAGTCCGCCTCATGGTCTGTCCAAAAGCTACACGATAAAATTAGATACTACGTCCTTCCATTTGGCCTTTGAAGTTTCGTACTATACGCGAGTGTCGATCCGCCAATATATATCGGTGCAATGCAGTTTCTCTGAGGCAGTGTTCGAGCCGCTTGGCCCATCTGGCGAAACACTCCATCCCAGGCTGCGCATGACGTTCGTATTATTCAGCTTGCTCTGTCGCACAGAGAAAAAAAAAAAAAAAAAAAAAAAAAAAAAAAAAAAAAAAAAAAAAAAAAAAATAGGCGACGCTGATTGTTGCGTGGCATTTTGCTCCATGTGGAGTTAGAAACATATATGGTATATGTATGCAACATGAAACGGTAATATTTCTCGTTTCCAATCTGGATATAGTTGAGGAGTGTTGAGAATCAGTAGCTATGTCGTATAGTTTTGCAACGGCCTTTTTTTCGTTTTTTCGACCCCACGCTTTTGAAAATGAATGAAATTCGATAATGATTCACCCTAGGTTTGTTTGCACGCTGAATCGAACGGCATTGACCATTTCCCTGCTCATCCCACGCTATCCTCAGAACTCCAAAATTAGGGGTATGTCGTATAGTTTTGCAACGGAGTGTATACCGGAACGAAGCGAGAGGAAGTGGATTATGAGCGACTTTTTGTAGTGCGCTTCTGGGGTACCTCATTAAAAGATAGAAGTGTTTGAGAGAAAAAAGGGATGATCCAAGCGATGCCTTTGCAAAACGACGCAAATGGTAGGGATTTTGGGAACATCAGCATTCAGCTATGAAAGCGACTACGTTCGATTGTTCCATTTGCCAAATGAGACACACATTATTGAGACGCGAATGTGAATGTTGGGTTAGGGTGCTTCTCTTCGTCTGAGGAGAGGAATCTCAATCTGAATGGAATTCCACTGCTTATCTTGAGCCGTGATTATATCGCTACAGATTGAAAATAAAGCGAAGTTAATGGTACGCCTCTGTACTACGGTAATCTAAAAATAAGCGGTCGAAGCAAGCATTGAGCAGCTATCAGATAGCAAGTGCTGGAATGTGCTTGGGGTTCAATCGAAGTTGTCTCTGATCCGACTAATCCTTCATGCTACGACTGCTGTGTAGGTGAATTGGGAAAGACTTAAATGATTGCATATACATATGTGCGTACAAAAAAGACTGCTGCTGTTAGAAAATGAGTACAAGTAGTAATAGCAACTTTTGCAGGAACG